GCCATGGGCCGAGGATGAATTGTGGGAAGAACCGTAAACTGATATTGAAGGAAGATTTTCTAGAAACAGTCTCGTACCGGTAAGCGAAATGTATAATATCTAGAAGTTGATTGATACAGGTTCCTTAAGGGAGGCTTATGTTCAGCAGTGGTCATGAGATAGGCTATAATGACGAAGTTGCCAGGACGGTTTCTGTCAGCTCACTTTTTTTACATGCTTTCGCCAAAAAATGTCAGTGAAAGGATATTTTAAAGTTTATGCAATAATTTATTCATTTACAAAAACTCTTTTTTTATACTGAATTACGTACATAAACAATAAGAAAATCAAATCTACTACGTTTTAAGATACCAGCTATCAGTTATCACATGCGTCATTTGTTTCCCATATTCATAATATATTACAACAAATATTTAACAAGCAATGGAAATACGAAGTTCAAAATACATACGTCATATTTGTGAGCATGTCAAATCGAAAGAAAGATCAAAGTTTTTTTTTAACGAGCACACAGTCCACTTGATTGTAAGTGGTTGCTCTGGCCCGTAGACATCTACATTTAACCTCAATTAAGAATCAAAATGCAGATGCATTGCCACTCTTGAGGACTAGGTTGGACTGCTTCGATTGCAGAAAAACGGGTCCTCGATTCTCTACACTCACCATACGAAACACAGCAGCATTAAGCTGCTATTTTACGCTGGTATTCCGTGAGAAAGTGGTCCTTCCCCGGTCGAGCCAACCCATTCATGCTACAACCATAATATAGCGTGGCTGTACCGCGTTTTAAATGTTACTCAAAAAATATATAGATAATAAGCTTCCCTTGTATAAAACGCTGATTATTTACATATGCAAGGTAATTATAATCATATTAAAGTTATTTTAATAAATACCGGAAACTCGAATATAATATAGTTTATGACTGACTAACGAGTATCATCTCGTGGATGTCCCAAGAGGCGACAGAGGTAAACTAAAGCAAAAGATAGGCAGCATTATCTTACTGATAACAATTTAACTTCTCAGATCCCGACACTGATGGAAAATGATAGTCATTTTATTGAACAAGAATGCTGATCAATTAAATATCAACAACTACAGACCTATATACATATTGCAAACCATTTATAAAGTTTTCACAAGTATATTACGCAATAAACTAGACTATATGCAGCCGAGAAACAAAGCTGGTTTTCGTTCAAAATACTGTACAATAGATCACATCTTTGTTTCGACTTATATAATGGAAAAATATGAAGAATATAACAAAATTCTCTGTAGCGCATTTATTGATTCCTCTTGGTTGGCATTGAAATCTACTGCAATACATAACCAATATATAAAAATACTGAAATAAATTTATAGTCGAACTAAAGAAACAATAAAAAGAGAGAGAACAGGACAGCCATTTAAAACAGGGGTGAGACAGGGGCATCCGATATCAACTACTCTATTTTCTTGTTTATTAGATTACATTTTCTCAAAACTTGACTGGAACAGTCGTTTTGCAGATGATATTATCATATTGTGCGAAAGTCACAAAGGTCTTATATAAATAGTTCTGTCTTTAGACATAGAAAGCAGAAAATGTGGCCTAAAATGAACTCAGATAAAACTTCTCGCAACTCAGTTTTTCTACCGTAAAAAGTTGTGAGATCCACGTAATACCAGGTCAGTTAATTTATTTGGTCGCTACTTAATGGTCCTTCTGTCTTAAGTTATTACGTAATTAGCTAACCTAACAATATCTTATAGTGACCATATCAATATTAAAAATCCTTAATGTTTTGAATAAATAGATTGACTTGGCCATCGCATGAAAACACAATGTATGTCACAAGTAATACATATTATATTAAATAAGATTGTTTATTGCAAACATTTTGCCCAAGACAAATATCTTAGGCAAAATGTTTCCTTTCATAACTTCACAATGAGAAATATTGGTCATTAAAACAAATTTTCAAAGCAAAACTACCAATTAAATTAAAAACGAAAGCGATGGATACTACTGTGCTCCAACTTTATTATACGGATGTCAGGATTGGGCTCTCACAAAGAAAATGATTTCTAAACTCCAAGTTTTCCAACGAGGAACGAAACGCAGCATGCTGAACATAAAACTAAGACATTGACATAGAAACAGTGATATACAAAAAATAATAAATATCATTGACGCAGCCAAATAGGCGTGCCAACTGAAGACGCAAGTCACGTGACAAGAGTCAATGATGGGAGATGGATGAACCGGTGCTTCATTGGTACCCACGTGATATGACGCGCTCGCCAGACGCGGGCGCGTTGGTGCGATGACATTGTAGAGGTGGCAGGAGTAACGTAGACCGGGCTAGGAGCAGACAGAACCTCATGAAATAAGATGAAGGAGGCCTTCACCCAGAAATGGGTATCCCATTATTACTAATAATTAATAGAATAAATTATTAAATTATGTTACTATTTTTATGTTTATAGCCAAATTCATTTGATTATTATTAACGTAAATTTTATTATTTCTAATTATATATTATAGGCCTATGTTGAGCAGTTGACTTGTGAAGGGCTGTAATGATGATGATTATGAATTATATACTATGTGACAAAAATCAACTAAAAGAAAAAAATTGACAATTACTTAAATATATTTTAATGATTGTTTACTCAAATATTATTTATAATCAAAAGTTAATTTTGTAAATTAAATTTGAACTTTTTATTTAAAATTGACACTGGCACTGACTGCTGCTGAAATTGCATGATTCATGATAACATTTTAAATGATGTTACTAATATTGACTGTTGTATGAAAATTGGAAATTAAATGGCTATTATTACTATTATAAGGGCTTTCATTTATATAGTTTTCTCATTAGTTAGGATGTATAAATACATGCTGTATAAATACCTTCTTGATAATAATATTACTATTATTATATTAAAAGGATATAAAGGGTGGACTTAAGGCCTCAATACATTTACTACCATGATGAATGTTTGACGAATTAGAATATTAAGTCGTAAACTTACATATTAAATCACTCAATATTTCTATAACAATGATTATTGGTACATCTGTTTGAGATTAAAATAATTTAACACCGTTTGGCCGATCACCATGAAAGTCAGTATTTTTTTTATAGATGCGGGGGTAAACAAGCCCCAATAGGAGCACAAGAGAGTGATTATAATAAGACAAAAATGTGAAAGTGGGTTAGAAAAAAGAAATATCCAGGAATGTCAGATGCATCACTGCCGTAAAGTGATTAAAATTATATTAGAAATATTTTGTTAATTAAACCTGAAAATAAATCTTATACAATTTTTAAGGAGATCATGGTCTTTAAAAGCACCGTTCATTAAATTGAACTTAATTTCAATGGAGCTTAATTCATAAGCCTTCTTAAATTTTATTAGTATCTAGTCCCAATTTCTACTCTATAACTTTCGAAGCTGTACGTTTTTATTTTTATGGAATATAACATGTTGTTGAAAGATATTAAATACAAATATTTACCCGCCTAAACGGGCAGAAAAAGTCAAATTACCCTACAATAAGAAGCAATAAATTACTTTATTCAAGCAAAAGAAACGATGAATAATGATCAATTTGGGTTAGAAACTTTGTTAAAAAAATTAAGTTTCATTAGCTATATTGAAGACGATTATTATTTAGTTTAGTTAATCCTTTTTGTAGATATTGTTTGGTTTATTTAATCTTGAAACACAGTAATATTAAAAGTTAAAAAGTAAAGTTACAGCCTATATACGTCCCACTACTGGGCACAGGCCTCCCCTCATTTCTGAGGGGGTTTTAGGGTAAGGAAGTGTCCGCCGCGCTGCCCCAATGCGTGTTGGCGAACTTCACATGTCTTCGAAATATTTTTTTTCTTATTCCTCAGACATGCAGGTTTCCTAACGATGTTTTCCTTCACCGCCAAGCACGTGATAAATCAGCACTTAAAATTGCAGTTAATAATTTCATTGGTACCGGCGGGGATCGAACCCGGGTTACTCGCGTTCTGTTCATATATATATATATATATATATATATATATATATATATATATTCAATACATAAAGTAAAAATTGAGTGTTCTTTTTTAGTGAGACAATATAAATAATTCGAGATAACTTTAAATGTCGTCATGATAGAGTAGATCCCTCTTAGCTTTATGAAAACCAGACGAAAACTCTTTTTAAAAGAGCTTTTACAAAATAGTTTGGAAAAATGCGTTGCTTCCGACGCGTTCATTTTTATTCGAATATAAAATTGCAATTAACAATTTCATTGGTGCCGGCGGGGCTCGAACCCGGGTTACTCGCGTTCTGTTATATTTACAGCGAGCGTTAACCATCTGAGCTACCACGGCTTTTGTTACAACAGTAATATTGTTTAATTAAATTTTACGTACATGTGCTTTATGTGAAATGGAATCTATATCTGTGATCGAAGAAAGTGTTCAGAAGTATGCTATGAAATCAAGACATTTTATAATATTAACAAAAACTGTAATTGAAAATAATCCTCAAAAATTAGTTATTTTTAAAGTAAATGCAATACAATAACAAATATTGGTACTACTTATATACGATAATATTACCAAGTAATTGCGTAGACGTGCGCTCTTCTAGTGCATTATTAACGATATAAAAATAAACAAACATATGACGACATTATGTGTGTACGTATTTATGTGTTTATGAATCACATCAATATTTCTGCTCATGCTGACGATTGTATATAAATGGAGGCAAGCGACATAATATTATCATAGAATATTTATCACTCGTCTAAACCATTGCTGATAAAGTTTAAGATCAAATATCATCATAGCATACATTTTGTCGCTATTCTTAATTCAAATATCCCAAAGGATTTTTCAAATAAAATCATAAAACGGATCTTACTAAGCTGTTATATACCTAATGAAAACAGTTTGAAAAGTGTTACTTCATCATTTCGACTAGTTCAGAAAATTTCGTGAAGGAAATTTTTTATAATGGATAAAAGACAGCTAATCGGAAGTGCTACGCGATACATTGCTGGAGGACATGCTGTTCAGACTGTGTACTGGAGGAAGTCAGCAGATGGGCGAAACGGTCTTGTCAAAACTACCAAATTAACATTTTTAGGGAACAAAGGTCCTGATAAAATTAAGGGTGGAGAAATGTTTGCAAGAGTCCGCGATAAATACGGTATGCAGCTTTAAGAATGGAAAATAATCTTATTTATTTAATTCTGTGATAGCTGTTGTTTATAACATTAATAGTGTGTAAGTAAGGTGAAAAAAATAGAGTCTATATTCTAATATAAATTTCACTGTGCGTGGAAGCGAACCTCATGTCTTTGATTTCTTAAATTTCTCAGACATGCAGAATTCCTCGCAATGTTTCCTTCACTGCCGAGCACTCATCAGCACCTAAAATTACAATTAAAAATTTCATTCGTGCTGGCAAGAATCGAAACTGCTGAGCTACATAATACACTATGCTAAGTATTATTTAATTTATATCAAGTTATAAGACTTTCAATGTTATGTTTTTGTAGCTAGTAGGCTGTAATACGTAGAACATGTGTATTTTCGTTTTTAATACTTTTTTATAGGATGAAATACATTTTAACATGAGTAAAATCCAATAATTTAACAATTTTATTTTTATCAATGTTTCAAGAATTCGTGTAGTTTAAATCTTAATGTTTAATTAAAGAAGAGGTTAAAATGAAGTTTACACTGATAACATACCCTTATAGTACAAATTATTGTAATCTAAAAATATTAATACCGGGCCTGTATTTTGTTAATTATTTAATAAACCATAAATAAAGCAAATTATTTATATAAATATGTGTTTCAAATAGATAATCAATTCTTACAAACCGTCTAAAAAGTGTGAACGTCAGTAAATAAAATTAATAAAAAGTATTATTAATTGTAAATACTGATGTCATTAACTATAAATTATAGATGTTTATTTGTTATAATTATATAATACCTATATAAAATAATTTTGAATCATTAAAAATATATTATTCATAAATCATAATAATTAATAATCTAATGTTCAATTCCTAGCTTGGGACACAAAAAGCAGATACGGTTTTTAGGTCTGGATGATTTATTATACTTTAATGCTTTTCTGTAAATCTTTGGCTTGGCTAAACCAGTAGACTTCCGCTGGTCCTGTTGCATAAGTATTGTATGTATAATACAATAGCCTCGTTGGTTTATGGTCTGAAGCGCGACTGTTGCACATGTGGTCCCCGTTTCAATTCCCAGGTTGGGCTAAACACAGTTATTGTTTTTTTTTTTTGTTAAAAGAAACAGTAGTAGCCTGGAGTCAGGAAGCTTGCAGTGTTCCGTTTCCGTGCAGTGGAAAGTATGCTGTAAAACTGTTCGTCCTGCGCCTGATGTCTAGCTCACATACTCCATGTTCCATCAGACTATGAGCGCAAGGGAATCTGTTGAGATTGGCTACCATGATGAAAAATCGGAGGGGGGGGGAGGGGGAGAGTATTCTAACAATATGTACTACATTTTAGAACAGGAAGGAAATACAGAACTCTTTTATATGACGAAACTAAGTAAGTTTTAGCCCGTGAGCTCTAAAGTGTGTTGCAATAACCTAGTTTAGGCGACTCTTCCAGCACGTAGTACATATTACTTCAATGCCTGGAGGACATTATTAATACGAACATGTACTATTCAAATGATAACTAGACGTTTAGATTATTGGTAAACATATAATGCGCGTGGATGATGACAAACACCTTGGTATAATCCTAGACAGTAATCTCAGTTTTGAAAATTATGTCGTTATTATGGTAAAATTATTTTTATCGTCTAAACGTATTATACCAAATCCGTGATCAACTTTCTGTACTATCACCCTTGAGTAGGTCTGTCAAAAGTTATGCCAAGGTGTTTGGCTTTATCCACGTGCATTATGTGTTTACTATTAATGTTAAAGTTGTAGGTCACCGCAATTCAATTCTGCTTATTTTCTTTTTGTGCCCATAACCATATATTTTGACTTTGAGGGGTTTAACACAAGAGTATTTCGCATTGACCAGTCAGAAATTCTGGCCAAATCCTAATTAAGCCGTGTTACATCATGTGGTATCTTATCTGGTGATTTGGACACGTATAATTCCACATCTTTAGCGTAGCGGTATTGTATTGTTTTGTAGCCAGTGGTACATAAAATATTTTATAACTTTGTTAATTTCATCTAAGCTAAACGAGGATGTTGCTCATGGACCTCGGATTTTCAGCAAAACAAAAAGACTAATATAGCGCGTGCAAAATGCATGTTGTTGGTTATGTTTTGATGTCTCCCCCAGAAGTCACATAACTCCTTTCTTGAAGACTCATACTCAACATAGTAGAGATGTAGATAGCTACATTTAGAAGGGCATGTTTTAATGTTATTAAGATATATTATTAAAACAGACTACTTTCATACATAGACAAAGTTTGCTAAGCAAAATTCTTGAAAACAATTGAGATACATTAGAACAACAGTCCTATATTACAGCCATAAAATGGTGGCATTTACTGGCAGTTTCTAACAATCCTGTGCTATGGGTATGGTTTAAAAAGACGTTTGCCCTCCTATGAAGAGAAACTTAAATGATTTAACACTATGTCATTAAAAACTCGGTGTAAATATCTGGATATGACTTATCTTTTCAAAATTATGCATTCTCTTATCGATTCCCCCACCCTCCTTTCATTTGTCAAGATTAATACTAAGCTCATCGTCGCTATACTTTCCTAAACGTACGTAAATACGTCCTATCATAATCCTCTCGTAAGAATGTTTTATTGATTAATAATAGTAAAAATATCGACATATTTAATATCAAAGAATCCGTATTAGATATACTTTTTAAATAACGTATTCAAGGCTTAACATTTAAATGTAAATGTTGGTAAACATACAATATTTTAATAATGATTTATTTTTGCTAAATTTTCCTCAACGTATTCCATAACCTGTGGGTTATTAGTATTTGCACTGTAAACTCGTTACTGTTACTCATTAATATCATGTTGTGTGCACATGTTTCGGAATACCATTCAGATTGTGACTTTGCATTTTTTATGTTCAATTTTTCATGTTTTAATGTTATTCTGTTTTGTGTACCCAACTTAATAAATAAATTTCCGATATATGGCAACGAAGTGTTGGAATGACATCCCACCACCAATAAGAAGTCTTAACACCAATTCCAATTTCAAAAATTAATGAAAACCATACATTCTAGATAAACAGAAACATGATATACCGGAACACTTTGTTTGCTAGCTGAGCCATGGCACTTTCTTTCTACTAACTCATCATGGCTGTCTAAGTCTTTTAGGTACTAGCTTTAACTTTTACGCATTCTTACACACACACACACACATACACACACACATACACACACACACACACACATCTTAATTAATTTTACTAAATTGAACCCGAGATGCAAGTTCTTAGGTCTAAAAGGACACATCATTCAAAAGATTCAATTACACTGGTTATGCTATTGTGCTCATTGTATTGCTGGACACATAAAATACATATTTACACTTATTATACTATTGTGGTTTTAATCTCTAAGTGTTGCAGTGGTCTTTTATAAGCTGTTTTTATGATGTTGATGGTGAAAATATATTCATCATTACAGCCTATAAAACCATGTCACAATACAAAAAAATAAGGTGAAAATGTGTCGAAAGGACTAAAATGTCTGAACCAGTAACTATACAAAATTGGGTCCAAACGATTGTGAGAGTTATTCATGAAATAAACCACATAAGAAATTCAAAGTTCCTCCTTTCTCTTTTAGAAACTTTATGTTACCTAAACAAAATTAAAACGCTTTATAACCATATTCTGTAAATTAATGTAATTTAATCAAAATTAACGCAGATAATAGTTATCATGTGATTATTATATAAAAATTTAAAATATAATAAGAAACAGTTCCGACTTTGGGACGACTTTCCCCTCTACCAAATTGGTACTTTACTACGTTGGCCTAAAGATATTTTTAAAATGATAAGAAAATTGAATATTTTCAAAGAACAATATTTAGCTACTATATTTGTTACTTCATCACCACAATTTAAAAAAAAAATCGTCTGGAAAAAATATCTTGTTTTGTGTAAGTGTAATAAAAGCTCTCCTCCTCAAATTTTGCCTATCTAGTTATATTTTACAAACCCTCGAAGTATTTGTAAAATATAACTAGATAGGCAAAATTTCGGAATGTGTTATTTCGAACACATAAAAACAATTCATCTTATGGCGTTTGCGTAAAACAATCGAATAAAAATTGTAAGGGCGAGCGAGACGCATGCACATTTATTTCGTAATGTAGGTGCAAGACCGCCGAGTGGGAGCAGCTGACACGTTGTTGTTGGCAACATTTTAAGAATCAGCTGACGCGCGCCTGACGTTAACCAAAAAAGTATTTTTCTCTTATAAGTATTTAGGCAATTTTGATATTTATTTTTGATTTTGACCGCCTCGTTGGTCCAGTGGTTGTAGTAGTGTAACAGCTGATAATGAGGTTCTGGGTTCAAATCCTGGGTCGGGACAAAAATCAATTTATTGAGTTTTTCCGTCAAGAAATTGCCTGCCGGGAGTCAGGTAGTTAGCAGTGTCTCACCCCCGAGCCTCGGAAAGCACGTAAAGCCGTTAGTCCTGCGCCTGATCTCTCTCAATCTCATCCGGTCATGTCATTTTATTGTCACATCGGATTATGAGAGTAAGGGAAGAAAGAGTGCACCTGTGCTTGCGCATAAACTTGGGCACTATAATCCTGTCCTTCGCCGATAGCAAGTTTCCGTTAAAGCAGTCGCCATGACTGAAATTCGGTCTGGATCACATTATTACATTATTTGTTTTTGAGTTTTTATTAAAGTATGGCCTAGAAGTATGGTCTCAAAAAGCCAAAAGGTACTACATAGCATACGGGTGCTTAAATAATAATAGGAATATCTACTTTTCATTCTTTACTATTCTTAAGGATATGGAAAGTAAGGTAAGATATTATTATATACATGTAGATTTAAATAATTAATAATAATTAGGTAACTAGTTACTGGCTCCGTAGTTACAGATTTATTTTTTAGCAGCCCGACCACGGCTTCGCAGTTCTCAATTTTTTCGCGTATAATGTCAATGATGTTAAAACTTTCAGAGTAAGTAGACATCTCAGTACTAGTTATTGCCCACTAATGTAATATCACGATATACTGGTTATAAGTAGAATGCTTGATCGATAAAAGAAAGTGATGTACAGATTTAGTTTGACTGTAATTTACGTAGTTTTAATTATTTTTGGGAAAAAAATTACCTATATTAAAAATGATAGGAATCGATTCAGTAAACGATTCTGAACAAACTACTTCCTCAAAGTGCGTTAA